TGGCTAAAATGTGAAAAAGCAAAACCCACAAAATAAAATCTTTAGATTGATGTCTGGCTGGTGTGGCAGAATGGAAGTGAATCACTTTCTGTGCACATGTGTCTCTCGCACACACATTCTAAGTGTGACCTCACCCCAGATCCGTTCATGCACAGCTCCTCCCAGAAGAGGGCGCTGCATGGCATTTATAGTTCCCATTCGTGTCCAGTCAATACGGCTGGCTGTGCTTGATTCAGTGGCAGGTTGCCAGAGAACATGGGGCTACGTTTCTTTCCCGTCTAGGAGGAAACAGAAACGTCTCTGTTTTCTTATGTGCAGCCCACCTTTGTACAAAACACCGAGAGGGGAAAGTTCCAACAAGAAATATTGCCTGCCAAAAAGGTCCCTGTGTGGTCCCCTCCTTCCAGGCCCATGAGCTAGTGTCTCAAAAAAACATTTTGTATCCTGATCGCCGGGGAGGCTGGAACAATTTGCACAGTACGGGGGCTGAGAGCCATCGAATGAAACTGTCAACCCTGAGCATGATGGAAACCTTTTTAAGGCAGGGCGTGTGGCAGCCCCCCCCCTTGCTCTAGTATTTAGACTGAGCACCGTGGGAACAAAGTTTAATCTGCTCAGCACTTCTAGTCATCCACATCATGCTGCAGCTGAAATCAGAAACCTCTGCCTGACTTACCCCTCCCCTGCCTCGCTGAAATGCTGCTCCCACCACTCAGGGTGTAACACGATCAGATCAAACGGTCTGCGAGTTTCACACGACAGTAACACAGCACCCGGTAGGTGGCACACTGATTTGAGTGAGTGAGTCTTGGCTTGGCAGATGCCCAAGCCAATTCAAAGGTAAAAATGAGTCCCGGGGTCGTATTAAAAATACTTTCGGGGAGAGTGCAATCTAAGTGGACACAGTGACCATTAGCCTCCAACACAGAAGTTGGATCAGCTCATTCAGCTGGTGTAACCCACACACCTAGGCTACGTCTACACTACGAGTTTTGCCGCAAGAGCCTATGCAAATGAAGTGCGGATTCGCATTTTCTTGTGCTTCATTTGCATACTCTTGTCCAATCCATTTTTGCGCTGGGGGTTTGTGTGCAAAAACAAGCTATGTGGACATTTCCTTTTTGCGCAAGATCCTTATACCCATCTTACGCAAAAAAGGTGTTCTGCAGAAGGCTTACAAAACGAGTTCCCCCGCCGCACTGACCTGATACTATCCGCACCCACAAAAATGAGCCGTGGATATCCACAGCCAGTTCTGTGGATGCGGATATCCATGGATATAGAGCAGATATCCACAGTTGTACAGGGCTCTATCTATAAAAAGTTTTACATAGAATCCCAAAGTCCCCGCTGAGTAACTGGAGCTATTTTGACACAAGGCAAATCGTGGTGTGTGTATGGTGGGGGGGGAGGTGTCTGTAACTAAGTATATAGTTTCTCATGACTGAGTGAAAATGGAGCATCTGTTTTTTTACCATAAGTTATTCAAAATCGGAGGAGAGTATTTCATTGGTGGCCAGAGATCCCGATTTCCAATCTGCTCTGATCCTCGAGTTCGTTCCAGAACCCGCGGTTCTGCTGGAGAATCTCAGCAGTTCTGCTTTCCATTATCTGCATTAGAGGTGCAGCCCGCAGGCCGGACGCTGTTCACCAGGGTTAGCCCCTGGCGAGCTGCTGGCTGCTTTTATTGTCCTGTGTCTCCACAGGTGCAGCCACTCACAGCTGCCGTTGGCCATGGTTTGCTGTTCCTGGCCAATGGGAGCCGCGGGATGTGCCACGGGCTGGGCCATCGTTTCCCGCAGCTCCCATTGGCTGAGAACGGTGAGCAGTGGCCAATAGGAGTGCTGAGTGGACATACCTGTGGACATGCAGGCAAATAATGTTTCCAGCGGCCCACCAGGGGCTAACTCGGGTGAACCACGTCCATCCTGCTGGCCATGTGTTGCCCTTCATGTTTAAAAAACCACTGAAAATTCAAACTGCCTCCTTTACACCTTACAATACACAGCAGGCTTTATTCAGTAAACCAGCTCTCACAGCAGCAAACGGGTATGGGACCAGATTTCAATGTTAAGCTTCTAGGGGTACAATGACACCATCTCATGGATCCACGTGGTGACTCCTCGTAGCACGATACTCTGATGAGGAGACAAAACATGTTTACTTCCAGTCTCCAGGGCTCAGGTGAGCTGGAAGAACCTCTGGCTTCTCTCCAGTGGCCCCAGGCTGCAACCCTCTGCCTCTGTGTGGGGTAAGCCTCATCTTCATCGCCCACTTGGTGTTCCTCCGCAACAGCAGAGAGCGCACGAGCAGTGGCCCCTGTAAGCTGTGCACTTGGGCCGCCACCCAAGAGAGTCACATGCCGGCCAGCTGATTAGCAGAGCGCCCACAGCAAGTAGCGTGTGTTTCTACTGGTGGTGCACCTCCACACATGCCTTGGCGTGCAGAACATTTATTCCACATGTGGATGGAAAAAATTAGAGGGAACATTGCACACGGGTCCCCTGGCTGCACAGTTAAGCATATTCACATGACACCGGATGTAAAGAATCTGGAAGCAGGACAATCTTACCTTGCCACATTCACACCAGCTCATGCAGCTTCAGGTCCAGTATGTCACTCTAACAGTATGGTCTCTCCAGCATCTTCACCAGCTTAACTTTCAAATTGCCAAAGGTCACCTTTACCAAGCAGCAAAGTTTTACAGGCTGCAGAAAATAAAGTTCTCACTTTGTTACTGTTCAGAAGCATGGTTGGTCTCCCCTCAAAATCCCCTATGTGCACCCCGAAAACTCATCCTCTAATACTGGGGAGGACCGTAAGTGGCCCACAGGTTGGACGTGGTTCACTAGGATTAGCCCCTGCCGGGCTGCTGGCTGCTTTATGTATTTGCGTGTCCACAGGTACAGCCACTCACAGCTCCCATTGGCCACGATTCGCTGTTCCTGGCCAATGGGAGCTGCGGGAAGTGCTGTGGACCAGAGCCATGGCTTCCTGCAGCTCCCATTGGCTGGGAATAGTGCACAGTGGCCAACGGGAATTCTGAGTGGCTGTACCTGTGGACACGCAGGCAAAATGAAGCGTCTGGCAGCCCACCCGTGGCTAACTCTGGTGAACCACATCCATCCCGTGGGCCCCTTATTGCCCACCCCTGCTCTAATATAAGGCACCTAGTGGAGCAGCAACGACTACCTAAGCACCACAGAGAAATTAATTCCTTTCACAAATTCTGATGAAAAGGCTCTTTCCCCTTTTCCCAGCCACACTCGGTCACCGTAGAGCTGACATACAAATGAATGTCGACTTGTACAGAGCAATTTCTGTGCAACCGCTAGATGTTAATGTGGGAGTGGTTTGCTTGATTCCATCAGACACAACTTTGGTGGTGGAGTGGGTAGAAAGAGATGGTTGGTTGGACATACATTAAACATGAAGGCTACATCTAGACTGGCATGATTTTCCGCAAATGCTTTTAACGGAAAATTTTTCCATTAAAAGCATTTTTGGAAAAGAGCGTCTAGATTGGCACGGATGCTTTTCCGCAAAAGCACTTTTTGCGGAAAAGCGTCCGTGGCCAATCTAGACGCACTTTTGTGCAAAAAAGCCCCGATTGCCATTTTCACCATTGGGGCTTTTTTGCGCAAAACAAATCTGAGCTGTCTACACTGCCCCTTTTGCACAAAAGGACTTTTGCCCAAACGGGAGCAACATAGTATTTCCGCAAGAAGCACTGATTTCTTACATGACATCGTCAGTGTTCTTGCGGAAATTCAAGCGGCCAGTGTAGACAGCTGGCAAGTTTTTCCACAAAAGCAGCTGCTTTTGCGGAAAACCTTGCCAGTTTAGACACAGCCGAAGAGTAGACAGGGAAAGAATATTTGGGGCTAATTTCGGCACTTATTACACCGGTGTAAATCCTGAATCCCTCAGGATTCATACTGAGGTAAGAGCAGAACCTGACTAACCCTTGTTTCCTTTTTAAAACTTCACACACACACAGACACTGACAAAGATGTGGGTAGTTTTATTATAAACCGTGTTTAATTCAAATGGTACATGGTGACAGATGACCCACTGGACTGACATGTGAAATGAGAACTTTGTATTGAACAATATTTAAAAAAATACAAATGCAGACACACACACACACTTTTCCCATAAGCTCTCCACTTTCCTGCAGTTTCTCAAAACATAGCCTGGACACCAAGGGTTCCCAGGGGGTACGAGAAGCTTGTCCAGGGGGCACGGGGAATATTTGGTAAATAACTAGATTATCCTAATTGAAATATTCCAAAAGTAGAATCATAGAATAATAGGACTGGAAGGGACCTCAAGAGGTCATTGAGTCCAGCCCCCCACCCTCAAGGCAGGACCAAGCTCCGTCTACACCATCCCTGACAGATGTCTATCTAACCTGTTCTTAAATATCTCCAGAGAGGGAGATTCCACCACCTCCCTTAGCAATTTATTCCAATATTTGACCACCCTGACCGTTAGGAATTTTTTCCTAATGTCCAATCTAAACCTCCCCTGCTGCACTTTAAGCCCATTACTCCTTGTCCTGTCCTCAGAAACCAAGAGGAACAAAGTAGTAGTGTTAGTGAAAAAAGTTGTGGATTCTAGAGTCTAGAATTTATTTCCTTTCATATTGAATAGGGGGTAAGGAAAGGCTTACTAAAAGCCAAGGGGGCATGGGACCAAAAAAGGTTGGGAACCCCTGCTGTACACACAAGGACAGCAAAGACCTAACAGGTAACGATTGGTGATAGAAATGTAGCCGTGTTAGTCTGGGGTAGTTGAAGCAAAATGCAGGACAATGTAGCACTTTAAAGTGCTACATTGTCCTGCATTTTGAGGTAACGATTGGTTATTTAAAAAGAAATAATCACAAAAAAGTCACTGCAATAACATGGACCAGCTCAGGAACTTGTACGGATTTATCATTTGTTAATTGCCTCAACAATTTGTTACAAAGAAAGTAGATTCATGCTTAAATCATATTTGTATATACTTATGGCCCTGATACTGTAAAGACTTATGCACATGCTTAATGTTAAGCACATGAATAGTCCCATTCATGACTAGGATACTACTCACAAATTTAAAATTAAGTCTGAGTATCTATGAGATTAGAGACTCGATCCTGGGGAAAAGAAATGTCACAAGCACAATAATAAAAAATTACAATTTTGAAATAATATCGAAATAACGGACAGCTTCTTCTGAAATCTGTAAACCTCATTCCACAAGGAATAATGCCTATTCCAAAATAGCTATTTCGAAATAAGGCATATGTAGACACTCCACTGCTACTATTTCGAAATAGCCCCTCACCAGGGCCATTCTAAGTTATTCCTCCCCAGTGCCACTTGGGACTCTAAATCGAGATAGCACGTCTACATTAGGGAAGCCTTCTTTGGACCAATTTTGAGGCTTCCCTGCAGTGTAGACGTGCTATTTAGAAATAAGCTATTTCAGAAGAATTATTCCGGAATAGCTTACTTTGAAATTAGCATTCAGTGTGGACATACAATATATTTGTGCTAGTCTCTAAGGGTATCATGTGCTTTTGTGGGTAAAATCCATATCATCATCATTGTTCTACCCACGAAAGCGCATGATACTATATATTTGTGTTAGTCTCTAAGCCAGTGTTTCTCAAAGTGGTCTGTGGATCCACTCTGAAAAACCTGCTAACTGGCCACTGTGGTTTGTTTATTTACCGTTTCCGCTGCCACAAAGCCTCACGGCTCCCATTGGCTCTGGTTTGATGTTTGTAGCCAAGGGGAACAGCAGGAAGAGTCCTTATGGTGAGGACACGCAAGTTCGAATATGTTAAATCAGAAGTTAAGGCAAATTTAGCTATTTTGAAATAATTTCCTAGTGTAGACATGGCTTAAGGTGCCATCGTTTTTAAAGTTACAGATAAACAGGACTCCCCCTCTGAAACTACATAGAATGAATTTGCTATTATCACTTAAATTATTTTTATATTAATGGGCAACTTTTCCCTGGGGCAGAAAAACATCACTTGTGTTCGCTTTGAAATATAGTATAGAGTAGCTCTGTCTCCAGGTCAGGAATGTATTTCTGGGTGTTTCTCCTCGGTGTAGCAAACACAGGATTTCAAGAAAGAAAGCACTTAACCCCCCCCCCAAACCCTCCACTTTTTGTATTTTAAGCATTGCTAAAAAGGGAGACCTATCCAGTGTTACGCACTTACATTGCCTTAGTGTTCAAGGCTTTCTATTACAAATATTGATATTTTTATTACTAGACAATAACTTACCTAGAATAAATGCGTAAAACAATGGCATTGCTTATTGAGTGGCCATTCACATTGGCTTGCTAACTACCTTTGCAAACCATAGGCCATTTTTCTTAATGTCTTGGTTTACCTTTTTCTGTCTCCTTAAATGAATGTCAGGTGTGAATGCTCATGTCCAGCTTCCTTAAAAGGACATTACTAAGATACTAAAGATGTAGAATATTACATAATAAAACAACCCTTAATTTAAAAAAACAAAACAAAACAAAACATATAGAACTTCCATAACTTGTCTTGATAGATTTGGCTTCATATGAACCTAGTCTACAAGTCTAAAATATCTGGTCACTACCCGGAGGAAAATCTTGGTGGTTCAGTAGTTTGCCACTACTATTAGTGCAATATTTAGTGCTAAAAATGGATGCATGTATACAAACACTACACATATTCTATCAGGACAGTAGTTTCGTGTGGCAAATGTTAACTGTGCTATTATAAACTTACATCTTTATCTAAATAGAAATGTGACCCGTGGTGTATCATTTCTCTTATTTCATTTTAGAGTTTGGCTCTACTTCTTGGCACAAGGAGCCAGATTACAATTATTTTGCAGGTTCCTGGGGGTTACCTCATTTTTTTCTGCCCCTCTGCTCCACCCAAAATGGGGAACTCTTGGCAAAGCTACTGCGGAAATTATTCATGTCCAGCAAGTTTAAACTGAACAGTCATTTGGATGCCTCCCTTGGACTTTAAAATGCTTTCTGTGAACCACGAAGGGTTGCAAGAAGGCTTTAATACACCACTTAGGTCCCAGACCTGCAACCACACTCACGGATGCGTTCTCATGTGCATACACCCACTGAGGTCAGTGGGACAGTGTTTCAAGTTAAGTGCACACAAGTTTTTGCAGAATCAGGGCCTTAAAAAACACCTCCACCCCCAATGTATCCAAATACAAAGACAGAATGGGGATGTAATTAGAAAAACAGGAGAATTGCACTGCATACCCCAGAGGAGACAAACCACATTTTGAATTGATTTCCCCGCCCCCTCCAGCTAAAGTGATATTAACATAAGAATGGGCATACTGGGTCAGACCAAAAGTCCATCTTCTAACAGTGGCCAATGCCAGGCGCATCACAGAGAACAAACAGAGCAGGCAATCATCAAGTGATCCACCCCATCGCCCATTCCCAGCTTCTGGAAAACAGATAAAATATCAAGCTGATAAGATGAACTGTAACTGAGGATTTTCAGGGGCAATAGCGAAATTAAATTATCCCATACCAAGGAATCTAACCGGCCATCAAGAATTATTAGATGCGGGTGTGGGGCAGGAGATGGCCCCCAGAAGAGAAAGGGCCTCGAGCAGAAGGGGCAGGGCTGGGGCTAGCCTCCCGTAGGCAGCCCTTCAGTACTGCTCGGGGCTTGGGCAGTGATTTAAAAGGGTCCAGGGCTTCTGCCCTTTTTAAACTCCCCCCCCCCCCCCACACCAGCAGGCCTAATTGGATGTCATTCATAGTGACAGACGGGTAATACCAGCTGTGCGTACACATAACTGCTGCACTTATCTCATCAGCAACTTTATTTGTACAGTTGTCATCAAGTAAAATGACTGATAGTTTATTACTATGGCAGGTTGCCTTGTTCTGTTTGGAAAATGAAGATCAGGGTTGGCTGCATGTAGTTATAGGAGAATTACGGATGTAAAAATGCAGTGAAAATGTAACTGTGTAACTGCTAGATATCTTAGGCTATGTCTAGACTATGCTCAAGTTTCGAAAGAGGATATGCAAATTCCCTGAGAATTTGCAACTCTTCTTCCAAACTCACTTTTGAAAGCGGAGCTTTCGAAAATTAAAGTAGTCAAGATATGTTTTTTTCAGCAACCCCCCCCCTTTTTGAAAAGCTGCGTAAACTTCATTTTTTGAGGCAGAGCAGCTTTTCAAAAAAAGGGGGGGT